TTCTAGCATCAGGGTTACACTTTCTAGCATCAGGGTTAACTTTCTAGCATCAGGATTTTGCCAAAATTGCCAAAATTTGCCAGTTAGGTTATTTTGATATTTATCGACTTTATAATCATAATTAGGGTGTATTATCCTATGATAAGGGTTAGGCTTAGGGTTAGGGTTAATAATAAGGTGATATTTAGTGTTAAGTTTAGGGTTAAAAAAATTCTGTTACTTAAAGTCCAAATTACTTTCTGCATCAGGGCTCACTTTCTAGCATCAGGATTTACTTTCTAGCATCAGGTTCTGGCGTATTTTGGCAAATGTCTTATATCTTTGTCAATTTTCAAAATTTTGAATTAATTTCTTCGGTTGTACGGTGTACAACCTCAAGCGCTTCACGTCCAATAGTCGAAAAAGTGAATTTCGGACTTTTATTTTTCGCTGATGCAAGAAAGTAAACCCTGATGCTAGAAAATAAAACCCTGATGCTAGAAAGTAGGGTTGCCAAAATCCTGATGCAAGGGTTAGGGTTAGGGTTAGGGTTAGGGTTAGGGTTAGGGTTAGGGTTAGGGTTAGGGTTAGGGTTAGGGTTAGGGTTAGGGTTAGGGTTAGGGTTAGGGTTAGGGTTAGGGTTAGGGTTAGGGTTAGGGTTAGGGTTAGGGTTAGGGTTAGGGTTAGGGTTAGGGTTAGGGTTAGGGTTAGGGTTAGGGTTAGGGTTAGGGTTAGGGTTAGGGTTAGGGTTAGGGTTAGGGTTAGGGTTAGGGTTAGGGTTAGGGTTAGGGTTAGGGTTAGGGTTAGGGTTAGGGTTAGGGTTAGGGTTAGGGTTAGGGTTAGGGTTAGGGTTAGGGTTAGGGTTAGGGTTAGGGTTAGGGTTAGGGTTAGGGTTAGGGTTAGGGTTAGGGTTAGGGTTAGGGTTAGGGTTAGGGTTAGGGTTAGGGTTAGGGTTAGGGTTAGGGTTAGGGTTAGGGTTAGGGTTAGGGTTAGGGTTAGGGTTAGGGTTAGGGTTAGGGTTAGGGTTAGGGTTAGGGTTAGGGTTAGGGTTAGGGTTAGGGTTAGGGTTAGGGTTAGGGTTAGGGTTAGGGTTAGGGTTAGGGTTAGGGTTAGGGTTAGGGTTAGGGTTAGGGTTAGGGTTAGGGTTAGGGTTAGGGTTAGGGTTAGGGTTAGGGTTAGGGTTAGGGTTAGGGTTAGGGTTAGGGTTAGGGTTAGGGTTAGGGTTAGGGTTAGGGTTAGGGTTAGGGTTAGGGTTAGGGTTAGGGTTAGGGTTAGGGTTAGGGTTAGGGTTAGGGTTAGGGTTAGGGTTAGGGTTAGGGTTAGGGTTAGGGTTAGGGTTAGGGTTAGGGTTAGGGTTAGGGTTAGGGTTAGGGTTAGGGTTAGGGTTAGGGTTAGGGTTAGGGTTAGGGTTAGGGTTAGGGTTAGGGTTAGGGTTAGGGTTAGGGTTAGGGTTAGGGTTAGGGTTAGGGTTAGGGTTAGGGTTAGGGTTAGGGTTAGGGTTAGGGTTAGGGTTAGGGTTAGGGTTAGGGTTAGGGTTAGGGTTAGGGTTAGGGTTAGGGTTAGGGTTAGGGTTAGGGTTAGGGTTAGGGTTAGGGTTAGGGTTAGGGTTAGGGTTAGGGTTAGGGTTAGGGTTAGGGTTAGGGTTAGGGTTAGGGTTAGGGTTAGGGTTAGGGTAGGGTTAGGGTTAGGGTTAGGGTTAGGGTTAGGGTTAGGGTTAGGGTTAGGGTTAGGGTTAGGGTTAGGGTTAGGGTTAGGGTTAGGGTTAGGGTTAGGGTTAGGGTTAGGGTTAGGGTTAGGGTTAGGGTTAGGGTTAGGGTTAGGGTTAGGGTTAGGGTTAGGGTTAGGGTTAGGGTTAGGGTTAGGGTTAGGGTTAGGGTTAGGGTTAGGGTTAGGGTTAGGGTTAGGGTTAGGGTTAGGGTTAGGGTTAGGGTTAGGGTTAGGGTTAGGGTTAGGGTTAGGGTTAGGGTTAGGGTTAGGGTTAGGGTTAGGGTTAGGGTTAGGGTTAGGGTTAGGGTTAGGGTTAGGGTTAGGGTTAGGGTTAGGGTTAGGGTTAGGGTTAGGGTTAGGGTTAGGGTTAGGGTTAGGGTTAGGGTTAGGGTTAGGGTTAGGGTTAGGGGTTAGGGTTAGGGTTAGGGTTAGGGTTAGGGTTAGGGTTAGGGTTAGGGTTAGGGTTAGGGTTAGGGTTAGGGTTAGGGTTAGGGTTAGGGTTAGGGTTAGGGTTAGGGTTGGTTAGGGTTAGGGTTAGGGTTAGGGTTAGGGTTAGGGTTAGGGTTAGGGTTAGGGTTAGGGGTAGGGTTAGGGTTAGGGTTAGGGTTAGGGTTAGGGTTAGGCTTGCATCAGGATGCTGGTTTTTTCGGCATAATGGCACATTATGAGGTACTTTGGCGAACTTCAAAAACACTTTGGCAACTATTTAAACATTTTTGGCAGGTCTCTTATCCTAAAAATTTCCTAAAACGAACACTTTTTAGGGGAATAGGCGAAAAATAAGGCTCTACTTTCTAGCATCAGGGTTTACTTTCTAGCATCAGGGTTACACTTTCTAGCATCAGGGTTAACTTTCTAGCATCAGGATTTTGCCAAAATTGCCAAAATTTGCCAGTTAGGTTATTTTGATATTTATCGACTTTATAATCATAATTAGGGTGTATTATCCTATGATAAGGGTTAGGCTTAGGGTTAGGGTTAATAATAAGGTGATATTTAGTGTTAAGTTTAGGGTTAAAAAAATTCTGTTACTTAAAGTCCAAATTACTTTCTGCATCAGGGCTCACTTTCTGCTAGCATCAGATTTACTTTCTAGCATCAGGTTCTGGCGTATTTTGGCAAATGTCTTATATCTTTGTCAATTTTCAAAATTTTGAATTAATTTCTTCGGTTGTACGGTGTACAACCTCAAGCGCTTCACCTCCAATAGTCGAAAAAGTGAATTTCGGACTTTTATTTTTCGCTGATGCAAGAAAGTAAACCCTGATGCTAGAAAATAAAACCCTGATGCTAGAAAGTAGGGTTGCCAAAATCCTGATGCAAGGGTTAGGGTTAGGGTTAGGGTTAGGGTTAGGGTTAGGGTTAGGGTTAGGGTTAGGGTTAGGGTTAGGGTTAGGGTTAGGGTTAGGGTTAGGGTTAGGGTTAGGGTTAGGGTTAGGGTTAGGGTTAGGGTTAGGGTTAGGGTTAGGGTTAGGGTTAGGGT